TTGCTCACAATCCTTGCTTGGATAAGTAGAATATAATTCCTCCAATAATATTTCCAACTGAATATTTTGAAAGGTATTCCCATGTCCATGGAAACCAAATAATGCATAATTCATGTTGATAGTTACGCCTTCTTGGAAGGGAAAATTTTGCAAGTCCATTTGAGTTTTCATTAATGCACTGTTTCGATGGCGGTTACCTTCGATGGAAATGGGAATTACATTCTTAAATTCTTAGATCACCATGTTTGAATGATCAATTAATAAGTAATTTAAATCGAGAATAAGATTACTAGTGTAATTAAATTTTCAAGAATGATGAGTACCCTAAACCCATGGTCAATGTTGTAATCTCATTCTCACCTTGATTGAATGAAATTCTAAAATCAAGCTCATTTTCAAAACTCAATTTAACTTACCACCAAAGTCCCTTCCTAAAATCAAGTTTCTTACCAAAATCAAATTCATGACTAAAAAAAATATAAAATATTTAGTAATTCCTATATTAGAATACTGGCAATGACCATAATACGAAATAAAATTTTACCATGGTAATTAAAATCTGGCTATCCCATTATCAGGAACAAGATACCAATTCCTAGTTATTAATGCGATATTGTCATTTCTATATCCATTTCAACTTACAACTATTGTCATTCAACTCTCATAACACGATAAACAAGTCAAATTCGGCCCAATTTCAACCCATTTAACCATATTTTAACTATTTTACATAAATCAAAGCCAAAAAAATTGTCTAGCTAGCATGAATAAATACATAATTTCATCCACAACATCATTCATCGACATTCCTAAAAGAAAGTTACGATATAGGCTCAAATCACAAATTAACACATCAAAGCCAATGTTGGCTTACCTGTATATAAAGTTTTAACAACACAAAACATAAGCATATCCCAAATAACATTATCGATCCCAGGTGATGTATTCAATCACCGTGACAAAACATATCCCAATGACCATAACAAAAAAACACAATCCCAAACAAGCAGTCTGCATATTACAGGCTCCAGATATCAATAGTCTTATTCAAAACCACAACACCAAAAAAAGTTATCAACACATCTTGCTTCATACACTAAATATGAGAAGTGAATTCCCAGAGTTAAGAGTCTAGAATGAACCAAAATCCAAATTCTATTTAACAGAAATTAAGCAATTAGAGAAAAAAATATAGTAGTGAAATTGATATTGTAACTCCCAAAAACCCACCTTAGACGGCGTTACAATCTAAAAATCATTCACATCATGAGAGAAACTAAATAAATTCATCATTAAAGAACATTTCATTCATCAAATATAACATTTACCATATCATCCCAAAAAAATAAACAAAAATACATCTATTAATGTACCAAAATATATCCCCTAATCTAAAACATGGAGAGGTCAACTCCAGACATTCCCCTCGGGATCCACGCTTTCCTCCAATTGGGCTTCCCAAGCTACCTGGTCATCAACTTCAAGCTCTTCCTCTAAACCGACATCTAAGAATGAATAATATTGTAGGGGATGAGCACTAACCTCTGTAGCAACATCCTCCCAAACTTGAACAAGATTTAGAAAATATGTAAAACAAGTCAGTCTCATTTTGCAATTATCATATATTAATTTGTGAAAGAAAACAGGAACATTTCAATAGATTTTAAGTTTAAACCATAGCAATAAATTAAATGAACAGTAAAAATGAATTTTCCAATAATAAACAATTTTCCACAAGTTTTTGTAGAGTCTCATACCTCTACAAGATCTTGTAGGAAACTAATTCCACACAATAACAATAATCGTTCAATAGTGTAATCTCATATTCTCATGTATGTTGGTTGCTTCCCATGAATCTACACAATGACTCTACCTCGTTCACCCAATCATAACCACACAAACCACTTTAGGAAGAGCGTATACTGTCTCCCATGACATTGACGAATCCTTCCCAGGAAAGGTATACATCTCTTAACCTCGAACTTACATGAACAATAGTGGTTGCTCTCACAAACAACAAACCACTATAAGTGTTAGGAAACTATCTCACCCTCACTGGGATAGACTAACCTCTAACACTTTATGGCAGTGCTCGAATGCAATTCAAGTCCATCACAACAATTATACAAGAGATACAATTACAACCAAATTCTCAAATAAACACAATTCCATAAATCCCCAAATTTCACAATTTGTAATACAAGAGAACATTTTAAGANTTATACAAGAGATGCAATTCCAACCAAATTTTCAAACCATAAGTAAATCATAAATCCCCAAATTTCAAAATTTGCAATACAAGAGAATAATTTAAGAAAATAAGCAATAGATCATCCTAACATCATTTTATTACTAAACATAAAGCACTATGTTTTCGAAATCAAGAACAAAGGAAGAATCAAGAGAAAAATTCATTTATCTTGAAAACTAGGGTTTTATGCCAAGAAAAGAGATTTAATAGTTATCCAACCATTACTTTGCTTAAAACATGGTGGTCTTTGTAAGGATACCAAGAAATAAAGATTTCATAGCATATATATAAGATTTAAAGTCAAAAAAATACATATATATAAGCCCTAACCTCAATATAAGAGAATAGGAAGAAACTCCTGCCTCGGTGTTCTTGAAAAAACTAGGATTTTGATCTTCTTGAAGTGAAAATCCCCTTTAATCTTGTGTTTTTCTTTTCCTTTCTTTCTCTCTAGGATTTTCTAGGGTTAGAAGTGTTTAAATGGGGCTAAATCGGACGTCCTTAGGTATTTATAGTAGATGAAAAGCTGTCTGTTTGTGACTTAAAATTTTAGATTTTTCGAAGACCTTCCGAAAGGTTTGCCTATTAGACAAACTTTTTCATTAACCTTCCGGAAGGTTTTGTCTACTGGACAAACATTTTCATCGACCTTCCGGAAGGTTTGTCTTCTGGACAAACATTTTCATTAACCTTCCAAAAGGTTTTTCATCGACTTTCGGAAGATTTTACCTACTAGATAAGCCTTTACCTTAACCTTTCGGAAGGTTTTTTGTCGATCTTCCGGAAGGTTTTGCCTATTTTTCTACAAATCCTTCCTTCTTCATTTCTAATCCATTCCAAACCCTTCCAATTCCAACCCAAGCTTATACAATATACTTTTGTATATCAAACCTAGTTGGTACAAGTTCTATTACAATGATTTCATATATTTGCAAGATAAAACTAAGTTTTAACTACTATTTACTCGAATTTTTCTATATCAACATTTCAAAAGAAATAATAACTTGCTATATTAACCTATATACATATATAAAGATAAAAGTGTGGGGTTTACAGATATGATTGAGAAGGGATGAAAACCCTTCAATAATTGATCTTATCTTGTTTCTTATTTAGATTTAAGGTGACGGGATTCCAAAAAAATCCCATATAAAGTTGTGTAAAGTCGATAGTGGATTCCTCCATAGCCATCTCAAATTTTAAACGTTGAATTAACACCATAATTTGAGAGAGAGAGAGAGAGAAGTTTAGTGAGGCAATAAAGGTATACCATATATTCTTGAATGGAAATATAAAGCAAACAGCAACCATATGGCACTTGCTATAACACGAGTTACTGATGACATTACATCACCATTGTATTGCAGTGAGTGAATTGGGAAATGAAAATTTTTGAACAATATTATTGTTGGAATACCATGTAACAGTAACTACATGTAGTTCGAAGAACCTCTTGGCCAACTCGGCTACATCACTATTATCATATCACAGCATATTGCTTAACGCTGGTTTGCCACACATCACAACATGAATTTATTATCATATTCAACTTCATCTTCTATCTAGCATTTTGGTGGCATCGCCCGACACTATTCCGCAACCCCAAGACAAATGCGTCTCAACGCTCTCTAAGTAGGTGTGGATGTCGCAACCTTAAACTATGCTTCAACGAGGAGCCTAACTGCAAGATTGAGGTATTGCAATTTTATTTGATAAGTTCATAAATATTATACAAACATGCATGAGATGGAATATAGAAGCAAGACTGGGATATGGATGAGGGAAGACATGAAAATGAACCTCATATATTTTCATAAAACAATGGATATCATAGAAATAAAACATGTCAAGGACACTGCTATAAAAATATATGCCTATTTCAAGTGCAATTGTAATGGATTTCTCTAAATTTTTGAGGCAAATTCCTCTTCTTCCTAATATAAAAATTGGTTCTTATCCCATATGCAAAATTGTATCAATCAGGGTAGCGTTGATTCTTATTGAGCAGAATTCGATTCATCTTTCTTTCAAAGTAGGAATCTAGATGAACTTCACATTGCTTTAGCAAAAAAGAAGAATAAGTTCCCCTCACACAAATCAACATAACTTCTCTATATAAGGAGATCATGTAACAACACCTTTAGCAAGTGAGAAAAGTGTAAGAGTTCTTTGAAACAGGAAGTTTTTTCGAAGCTACACTGAACAATGGCTGGGTATGGTTACCAGAAAGGGGGCTACATCACCCGTAACGGGTGGGACACCCACACAGATGATTGGAGCCAAACAAATTACTCTGAAAATGGCTATTACGATAAGGCGCACCACCCGATGATTATTGATGCCCAGGGGAGAGAAAGGCCCATCTCTGAAAGCTATGTCACACAAACTGAGACAGTCATTGAGCATGTTCAGGTGCCCGTAGTCACTGAGTACAAATATAGCTCTCCAACAGAGGTGGAGTCCTTCAATGATTATAGAGTCAAGAACGATAGATGGCGATGGCCAAATAGTACTCCAGTAGTTCAAGATCGCCCACAGAAAGTTGAGGTATATGTTCAAACACCAACACCCACTGAGTACACATATAGCTCCCCAGCAAAGGTGGAGCCTTTCAAGGAATATAGAGTTAAACGACTCGATTGCCCACAGAAAGTTGAGGAATTCATCACCAAAATCCAAACTGAAGTCAACCAACCGACTCGGCCTGATTTCAGCCCGACGTATTGGCGTGACTACCCCAATTCCACAGGCCACAATGGCAACACGAGCTATGGTGGGTACAAAAACTTCAACAACAGTGAGAAACCTGATGACTACTACCCCAACAGAAATGATACCTTCACAGACCCAACTTTGAACAACAAAGATGGCCGAGATAGTCTAGGTAGTAAGGGATGGGCTATGCAGCCTCCTAGTCCACCACTCTCCAAACCAACAAATGACACTGGCACGCCTATGAAGTTCGTGAAGGAAGATGTTATTTCTACAACACAACCACATTTTGGTATCCCGGTCTCAGCAGTGCCCAAAAAGGATCCTTATACTGAAAGAATTGGCATAGAGTACCCCCAGCCCCTGAGAGCTGTTAAGCCAACAAATGTCATTTTTACGACACCACCACCATCAACCGTGCCCCAAANTGAAAGAATTGGCGTAGAGTACCCCCAGCCCCTGAGAGCTGTTAAGCCAGCAAATGTCACTTTTACGACACCACCACCATTAACCGTGCCCCAAAAAAAACCTTATGGATTTATAATTGACAACAAGGAGGCTGCAAGGCAATATGGAAACTCCAACAATTCATCGGCAAAGCCATACAAGAGAGAAGAATCTTACACAGGAGTCATTGACAGTAGAAAGGCCGCCATAAAGTATGGTGGAACCTTAGTGTGATGATAAGCATCTGCATATGCCTTGTATCCACAAACAACAGGTTGGATCTCTTTCAAGTTGTCTTTGTGATGGTCATATAGGTTTATTTGGCTTTACATAGCTACTACAACAGTTTTTTTTCTTTTTTCTTTTTTTTTTGTTTTCTTTAGTCCTCTATTTTCTGTAACCTTTATTAATGGGTGCTTGTGTGGTGATATTAGCAGCTACAATAAACTCACATAGGGAGCAACTATAACAATCATTGTTATCTTTGCTAGAGGGTAACTTGTGGTTGCAGTGAAGTAGCAAATAGATGTTAAACCTACCTAGTTTGCAACCAGAGATATTGAGAATAACAATTGCTATGCACTAGTTGAATATATTGTATGTGTTCTATGAGTCTTTCTTGTTTTTTTAGTCATCATATTTGTTGGGAGATTGGCGAGCCCAAAGATCCAAGATCAGCTCTTAAGTTCATATCCACATAAATTTTCTATCTAATGTAGGATTTCTCATATATGCAATACCCAACAATATTTCTCAGTTGATTATGGTATTTAGGCCAGAGTTGAAAATTATTTACTTGCGGTTTGCAGCTCAATTCTAGTGGTCCTAAGGTTGTGTCTGACTTATCATTAAAGGAATTGAGCTATTCCTACCCTTATAATTCAAGTTCCACCTAAAGAACTTTCAGCTATGGGTTGAAAATCATTTTTGTTCTAAACAAATTATGTTCACAATTAACTCTAATGTCTAGCATAACCACAGCTCTGTTGTAGAGAAATGAAAACTGAGAAAAAAATATAAAACATTGTTTCCAAAACATTCCGAAAATTGTGAACATAATTAATGGAGGGTTTTATTAGAGGACTACCAAATGACTAGAGAAGAAAGACTTTCTTCACAATCAACACTGTTGGTGTGAAGAGCTACCCGTTGGCAACAATACCCTAAAATTTCACCAAGATTGGAGTGGATTTTTTTGATCGTCTAACCAAAGGATTCACTCTAACTTGATTTTCCCTTTCACACTAGATTATTTCACCTTACCCAAGGAACTAAATTTTGTTTCAAAAATGTTAAAAAGGCCCCGACATTTTCGTTATGGTGAAAACTAAAACGAAACAATTATTGAATATCAAATTTTCTATGTTTAGATGTGTTTCGACGTGTTTGTTTTGACTGTTTCAGGATGTATCACAAATTAATGTTCAATTCTTTTTATTTCTATCATATTTTTGAATTTTTTTTTTTGAAAATATGTTTTAAACGTTTCCATTCCAAACTAACCAAAATTATGCACAGAAATAAAATTTTGATTCTTTATGATATCACATTTCATATCTAACACATCACGAATCTGATGGTACCTTTCTTGATTCTAACCAAATCCCTTCACAACTGATCTTGCGTTATACCTTCTTCCATTTCCAGCTGCATCACGTATTCATCACGAGAGTATCTTTTAGAGGCTTTACATTATATGGCAGATTTCTCAAATGAACGCTTTCTAGTGGTAAGTGTCCATCTTGTTCTTGTGCCTCCTCCTCATCACCTACATCATCATGATTTTTTTTTGCATCTCCCTCATGAGTCATGAGCATCATGTACTATGGGTGGAGGAACTGGATCCAATCCGATAAGAGAACTAATATAGGATTTATTCTTCTTTATCTTCTCCATATCTTCAATAGTTTAATCTTCAAGGAACACAAAATCCTTACTTTTGACAACTTTCTTGTCCATAGGACCCCATAATTTGTGTAAGGGGTAGAACCCTCTACTAAGGATTTCGGCCTGACCTGGGTTAACCCACGTGGGCGACCCCCCAGTAGCTTTTACCTCTCTTCGCCAATAGGACCCTTTCCTAAGGCAATCCCACATCGGAAGAGAGTCGTCTTCCGCCCTCGCATATAAGCCCTTGCACTCAAAGGAGGAGGTACCCACTAGGCACCTGATCAGGTCGCTAGTGGGTACCTCCTCCTTTGAGTGCAAGGGCTTATATGCGAGGGGGGAAGACGACTCTCTTCCGATGTGGGATTGCCTTAGGAAAGAGTCCTATTGGCGAAGAGAGGTAAAAGCTACTGGGGGGTCGCCCACGTGGGTTAACCCAGGTCAGGCCGAAATCCTTAGTAGAGGGTTCTACCCCTTACAATTTGTATTCGAATTCATCATGTGCATAGCTAAAGAAGATGCACTGCTTGGCTTTATCATCAAGCTGCGACTTTTCTTCTTTAGGAATATGTATGAATGCCCAGAAACCAAATACCCTTTCAATATAGGAGTCTTCGGTTGTATTTATCAACCTTTTGAACAATTTAGCTTACATTATGTAGCAAGTGTTCAATTTTCTTCCTCTAGCCAGTACCAATGCACCTTCGGTGAACTTCCATTTTTCTCCACCAAAGTTGCTATAGTGGAAGGTAGAGATCAAAATCCCGACATCTTTGAGTACCACTATTCAACGTCGGTCGATTTATTAAGAAACATCTCGCATACCCATAATTATGAATGCACCACCATTCTCAAGTCTTACATAGCCAAAAAACATTGCTAGTGTAGACGTGAAGAAATCACTCTAAGATTTACAACAGAAAAAGACACCTGAGTTAATCATCCAATTGTCATCTTGATTTACAAGGCTGACATAAATATCATCACACATAATCATAGTATTCTCATCAGTTGTTTCAATGGTTAGACACAAAATTAGAAACCATATGACTGCGCGTGTAACTAAAACCGTCATGATTTTCTAACAAACATTTAGAGTTAGAGCACGGAGATACAAATTAGGAATCTTAGGAATCAAATATATACAATTGAAAGATTGGGGACCAAATAGACACTAACGCATACTTTGAGGACTAAAAATATATTTTATCCTAAAAATTATTGTTTTATAAAAATTGAATAAGTAGTGGCTAGTTATTGAGAGCATTTGTCGTCAATTATTTAAGATGATTTGTAAGGGAGTTTGTGGGTGGCTATTTGAGACATTTTATATGACATAATTTGATGAAATGTATATATTTTATATATAATTTGATGAAATATATATTTTTATAGTTTCAATAAATTAAAAATCTATAAATTTCAGAAATAGTGAGGAAAAGCTTCTTACATCACCCACAAATCTGATTGCAAGTATAAATGCAAAATTGGAAAAAAAAAAAAAAAAAAAAAAAAAAAACAACAACACTCCTTCAACTCGGTTCGTAGTGAAAATTTGCTACTGTTAGGGTGTGTTATACAAAATTTGAAATTACAAGGTTGTCCCTTCAAATTGGTAGAAACAATGAGGGGTTTCATTGTAATTTACTCAAAACCAAAATGGAAAGGGCCAAAAAAATTAGAAAGGGAACTTTAGAATCCGGTACCTTTTTTAACCCTTTTTTGAGAGAAATTTCTCTTTCAAAAACTTTTGAGATAAAATTCCTCTTTTTTTCATAAAAGTCTGATTACTACTCTAAAATGTGTGTATATATATACACACACACGTAACTAAATTATTTTTTGGTTTTTTTTAACTTGTGTGTATTGGAAATTGTGTTAAGTTTGGGGAGTCTGATGAAGATTAGTTGTAGGGCAATTGCAGGTACTGCAATGTTCAAATCAGGAAGACAATCCAAAGAAGTTGTGAATATGAAAATCAATATTGATTGCATACAGAAATAGCACAATCAAAAGCATTAGACATGCAATTACAAACTAATTGCAACTTATTATCAGAAGGACACTATTGATGCAAGAGAACAAGCTAAACAAGAAAAAAAAACTCACGAATGCAGAGGCCGAGAGTTGTTCGTTTACTAAATTTTTAGTTAGACCCCATAATTTATAATTATGACCACTAGCCCAAAATAAAATTCAATTTTATAAAAATTGAAGCCCAACAAAAAGTTATAGTTAGATTTAAATTTGATAGTTTGGGCATATTTTTTCAACCTATGGACCAAAAAAAATATTAAAAAAAAAGTATCAATAAAAGTGATATATTGTTGTCAACTCAAGAGTTATTTTTATATCACACTTCTCAATATATTCTTCCAACCACTCTCTTCTTTTTCTTATCTTTCTCTCTCCGCGGTGAAATAATCTAGAAGGGCAAAACAGACTCTCTCTCTCTCTCTCTGTGGCTAACAAAGGCTAGGGGACTGCCTTTGTTTTTTCTTTTCAACTTGGTTTTGTCTCTGTGACTCCACTTTGTTTGGCATTATTCTTTATTGGCAGGGGCGCTGGGCTGTGCTTTTTAAGCTTGAATCTGCCTTTTAAGGTTAGGTCGTTTTGGCTTCGAGTATAACTACTGCTATAGTGAAAATCGGATTTCATGGAAAAATCAAAAATACCAACAAATCAGGTGTTTTTATTCTATGCTTTGAATTTTTTATTTAAAATTCTTATTATATTTTTTTGAATATAGATTGTGTGTGATTATTTCATTATTTGTGATTGTTAAGTTAATATTTGATAGTATAGCAAGTAGAAAACAACTAGGTGAATATGAAAAACTCAAAAAAAGAGAAAAAAGAAAAATGAATTAACGGAATCTCAAAAAAGATCTCTTGATAAATTCGTCACTAGTAACAAAAAAATGTAGCAAAAAATATAAGTGAAAATTTAGTAATTGAACTAATAATTACTCCCAATGAATTAGAAGATGATAATATAATACAACAAAAAGATAATAATGAAAATATGGACAATTCTAGTCAAACATGTAATATGACAATAGATGATGAAGAACAAACAAAAAAATTAGACCATGAAAATCTTAATGAAACAAGCAATTATAATGCTATGAATATTTATGGTCCAAGTAAATGGAAAAATATTGATACAAAACTAGAGACCTATTAGTAGAAAAAGGTCCTATTAGAAATAATGATTTAGATTTTCTCAAAGACGAGCTTTCTAGACATTTTTTTTCACTTATATTTGTAAATTAGCAAATAAAGAGACATATGATAGAAGATGACTAATATATTCAAAAGATTTAAATAGAGTATTTTGTTTTTGTT